AGATGTTCAGGACCTAGATTTTGAGAACTGGGTGGTTGCATGGGTCTTCTCATTGTTGAATGGACTAACTCTTACTCAAATAACTCAAACGCAAGGATTTTCTTTCTCACAGGATTAGTATCCAATGAAGCCAAACACATGACTTCATGGATGGGGAAAGGTTGCAGAGATAGATTTGTTTGGTGGGTGCTGTTGAACACAACACAGAGCCGATCAGAGTCTCCTCTGAGTGTAAATCAGAAGGAATTAATTCTACAAAGAGACACAGAGGGAAAACTACTAGAAAACAGACACCGAGTTCTTAATGTATATTTCTTGCCATTTATGAAGAATTACATTAAAAGATAAATGCAAACATGACCATTGGAAGTTAAGCATACTAAAATGGAGAGCTTTTATCTACTGCTATTATGGTAAATTTTAATATACATGTGGTATATGTTACAATATAAGCATTCATGACTTGGTCAGGATCTAAGTTACTGTACTGATTAATTGTGCTCTACATTTGAGGTTTTGGCAAAGATTTTCTTCTTCAAGCATCTCCTGAGAAATAACTAACTGGAAACAATTAAAAGTTGTGGCCCGCTGATAATTAAAAAGTAGGCACTGGGAACAAAATCAAAAGGTCATGATTACTTTTCTGTATGTGTAGATTCTGTTAAGGCTTAAGTCTGGAGTTGTTTGGGTTTTTTTGACTGTGTAGTTATCAAAACACTAGGCATTTATGTTTTATGTTTGCATCTCAGTACAAGGATTGGCAATAAATGTAGGATTGCAACAGCTTGAGTTTAGATCATGGCAAAACCTATTTTTCTCTCTTACAATAAGACAGAATACAGTTACAGTAGCTATCTAAATGCTATGCCACAAATGTTGTTTACTTACATGTTTTAGCTGAGTGACATTACCCTACAATAAAAATCGAGACTGAAAAGCTACTGACCACAGGGAAAAAGTGGATAGGCCAAGTTTTACCTTCCTTAAATGTTTGTTTAAAAAGGTTCCAGTTATGAAATATATGAACCACCTGCATTACAGGAAGTAACTAGATAACAATCCTAATGGACTTCAGGTCTTTACTGCTGACAATTGACTTTGCTCTGATCTAACAGGAGCATTTCAGCATGGCCGGGCAGAGCATGCACTCGATCTCCATTGACTTTTTGATTTAGCCTCACGTGTATACCTCCCTATGAAATACACTCTCCTATGCGTACACATCTCACTGCTCAAAGTAACAATGTAGGTGATACTAACGGATTTCTTAAAAGACCTTTTATCCCACAAATAATAAACACATAACAACTGTACATTGAATTTTAACGTTTCCATTCACCAAAAAATCCCTAAATTCTTGACAAACTGATACAGAACTGCATTGCTTTATTCACCAATGAAATATGGTTACTTCTATGATTAAGTAATTAATTAGAGCTGCACAGTGCAAGATAAAATAGCAGAAACCCTAATCTGCAGCTCATAATAATGCAAGCCATCTCATTAAAATAACAGTGGCAAAAGTAGGAATGGGATTACTGCATTAAAATGTGGAAGGATTGCAAGACCTGGCTCCAACTTACAGCCTGATCAAGGCCCACTGAAATTAAATGGGAACTCTAATCCATTAGGCATTAAAAATAAAGAAATTGTAATCTCCTCCAGCTGAGAATGCAGGAAGAGAGACTGCATTGTTTGGCAGTGCATGTAGGTCAGCTTTTTCACCCTAACTTCCATTTTTGACATACTGGTTTTCCCAATCTGTCTTCAAAGGTAATTGCATTACATTATTTCCATATAAATAAAAATAAATAAATAAATAAATAGTAAATATATTTTAAATACAGATACTGATTTCATAGGTTTTTTTAGTACAAATCTATGTTAGCATTTTCTTTAGCTGTCAGGTACCATGTCATATATATAATACATATAAAACAGCATATAATTGCAACCTTAAGTGCTAGTGCAACTAATGTTGAGCAACCCATTTATTTCTATATCTACAAATCACTTGGGCATATACATTATTTCGTTAACCAGGAAAAGAAGCAATTTTGAGTTTTGTTATCAGGCTTTTCTTAAGATCAGTATGCCATCCAAGGTTTGCATTCCATTTGCAGGGTTCGTTGTGAACAACTCATCACGGAAAACAGATTTTCCCTTCTCCGAAATATGTAGGTTATTTTTCAGAAATGCTGCTGTAAGTAATTAATTTTTAAAGGAAGCTTTTGTATCACTGAACAGTACTTATCTAGTAATGCTGTACCATGAAGAAAGCATCTGCCTGCTGTATCTTTGCTATAGAACTTTTTGTTCCAAGTCTTCTCCATGGCTCCACTCATCTTCCCTGTGATAGGGAAAGTATTGAGAAGTGACACAGTTACAGTAAATCAGTAAGGAGGCCAGCTCCTCGCCACGGACTGAGCTCTGAAAGGAAGGGTTGAATTCAGTTCTCATTTACACACATGAAACCCCACAAGCTGAAATGAACCTGTGAAACTGCAGGCTAAATATATAGCTATCTACAGAACTATTATTATATGTATATGAGGACAAAAGAGCTCCAAGATACAGGTACTTCTAATTCATGTTACTACAACTAGTAGATGTGGTTTACGTAAAAAATCCCAGATTTTGCCTTTGTGCAGTGTAGTGACATGTCTACAACACCCTCCCCAATAAGCGCATGACTGCACGAAGACTTGTTTTTGCAGGTCTCTTCTTAAAACCTACTGGATGCATCACTGTTTCTTCTTTGCATGTCCCTGTAATTGTAGCTTGTGGTTTTTGTTTTTTTCTCACGTATAACCACCAAATTAAAAGTTTGATAATGCCCCTTTCTCTCTTACTGGAATAATTTGATTTTGCTTCTTATTACAACTAAATATTTACCCTATCAGATTCAGTCACTTCCCCCATGTTTTTTTTTTTTCACTGACCCATTTTTTTTGACCACACACTTCCCTCCCAAAGCCCCAGTGTATTTTCTTTTTCACCTGACTCCCAGCTATGTTAAGGCTAGCGTTAGTGGTACCACTGGCTTGTTTTGTAAATAGCCTCTCTTGACAAATAAGTGAAACCGCAGTGCCCTCTCCCATCACCACGCGATGTGGCCCTGGAGGATGTTACTCTCTAGACAAAGACACTGAAGAGAGGAAACTCAGCTTGGTTGGGTTGCAGCAAGTCAGTCAGGAAACACACAGTTCCCGAGAAGCCTTCATACAGACTATATACACTTTCTAATGCCCGGGAGCCAGCCTTAAATTCTTCTGTAAATAAGAACTCTGCAAACCTAAGAAACAGAGGGGAAAAAAAAAAAAAAAAGTTTGTTATTATTTGGTGTCCCTTATGTCTACTTACTTGTTGTTTGAAAGCACCATTTTAATAACATTCAATGATTAAAAAGGTAGAATGTTCATTATTTAGCCTCATGTGGAAATTTTACACTGCCCAATTTCCATGATAAACTGAGGTCCAAGACATCTAGAAAAGCCAAACCTTTGCGAACTGTATATGTCTTAGGCTTCTTTGAGAGCTGTAAAATTTTTCTGATTTCTATGAGACATATTATTAAACAAATACTTTTTAATAACTTTTATCTTGGTTGGTATTTCAGCA